TATTATATGCATATATATAATATATACATATACATATATTATATATTATATATTATATATACATATACACATATATATTATATATACATATACATATACATATATTATATATTATATATATATATATTATATATATATATATAATATAAATTCATCGCATATCTGAATCAATTTATGTGACAATTATTTGTAACGAGTAATAAGATCGTACATTATAGTTAACGCAACGAGTTTCTTAATAAAGAAATGTAGACGAGAATGTCAAGTGTCAGTGTTCGCTAACAATACGACACGGCATTCATACAAAAAAGGTGATAATACCATGAGTTTCACTCTCGGATATATGACGGTGGTGAGAACAGAACATGCGCTGATTTTCGAAGACGATCTTTCTCAATTAAAATCCATCCAGCCATTCGGCTTCGTTTTACATTTCGCGTCAAAGCAGAAGCCGTTGTTACGTCATTACAAATGAAACTATAAGCAAGTCTGTGACCTTTGCATTTGATAAATGTAAATCGAGCTTACCGAGCTTCCTTGGCAGAGGAAAATCTGCCGATCGGAGTGAATTCTTGAAGAAAGAAAATCAAAGATTGCATTGTAGGTAAAGAGGACGGTGACATAACCAGTTGCCGCTGGCATTTTTTTCTGTCGTATCGTCAACTGTCGATCAATTTGCATAATAATTCTGCAATTGCGACAGACACCAATTAGCTAAAATTAACCATGTGCGACAATATCGCGCGGTGTATCCGTCACCACCTACCCCATTCAGCGGTTCCTTTGACAAATTTCCAAATTAATATGCGAATGTCGTCGATCAATATATCGGCGAGTAAAAAATTAACTCGCCGAGGAAGAACTCTTTTCCTCGTCGGCCAAATGACGAAATTTAAGGCCAGGTGTCGTTGGTTACGAACGTTGCGATGGAAAGTTAGAAAGAAAGAAAAAGAAATAATAGTAACTCGATATTGTTCGTATCGTTGGAAAAAAAAGAAAGAATCATGAATCATGAACGGTGCTTTATCTTCGTCTCGATTTGTTTCGACAAACCAACTGAAAGATGCATCAAGAATTTATCTTGCGTATCATAATATTATCAGCCCTGCTAAACATCTATGCGACGAATACATGCGAAGTTCGATCGATAACCATCGGATCATCCATTTACATTCCTTTTGCAAACTCTTCGTACAACGTGTGGGTAAATGCCCAGCGAAATCTAAAATCGAATCGCGGCAGCGCACATCCTCCCAGGAAACGCTTGTGCCTACGTGGAAATTGGAAATTGGTTGATCAACCTCGGATTAGAAATGAACCACTTCTTACTTGATTATTACGTTACGGGCAAATTACGTGATTATCACGTTAAAATAACGAGGTTATGTTCAAAGCAATTTGTAATTTCGACGTTTTCGTATTAATGTTAATTAATTTAATTTTAATTGAAATTTTATGAAATCGAGATGTCATTCGTGAAAGAACATTTCTAGGTGATCATACATTCATTTTAAAGATTATACTAAAATTTAGAATAATTATATTTATTGTTTCTTTCTTTTCATAGATCACAATTTCAATTGAAATTAATATAACGTGACCACTAAAAGTAATTGAAGTATTTAATTGCATTGAAATTCCAATATTAAATACTTTTACATTAATTACTTCAGGATTTTTTATTATTTTAAGGTATCTATATTTTATCAATAATAATTTTTATAGGAATATATTTTTCTTTAATTCAATTAACTGAATATAAAAATTCATATTTTTATTTAAATGATAGAATTCATAGATCAATTTTTTTTTTTATCTACAGGATTTCATGGAATTCACGTTTTAAGTTAGTCTGATTTACTTAATAAAGTTACGTTTAATTTAGTTATATATTTTTGGTTATTCTTAGGCCTGTTTGCTAATCAAGGAGATGCGAGTTGAAAAAAAAAAAACAGAAACAATCAGAGTCGTGAGAAAGCTTTGAAAGAGAGTTAATTGTGTCGTTTAAAGAGTTAATGTGTTAATTGTTACTTAATAAATATCATTTAAATTATACTTCTACGTTATTAAGAATTCTTATTAAAAAAAACCATCTATTCTCTTTTCAAACTAAATCATCGGTTTTCCTTTGAATCGAATGCGAAGTGACTTTTGTCTCTCGTCTCTCGCTGTTTAAAGTATATGAAAAAAGCAAGGTACGTCAATGTGAAAAACATTGGAAATCGCTGGAAAATTTATAAACCTCAACCTCGTGTTTCACCCAACGTTGGTCCTCGTGTAGTCTTCATCATTAGTAAGTCAATGCTCAGACACAAGCATCGCGTCCACTTAAATTCTGAAATTCTTACAACGCTTTCGCCGGCCGATATTTTCCATCCAATGAGATTATCTCAGGCGTTGCCTGATTCGAAACTGCATCCCGCCGGCAAATAACAAGACGTCGACGAGGGACAACGTTGGCGCAAATTGGGCGATATCCGGCGAACTTTGTCCTCCCTTTTGCCACCGACAAATTGAAAATAAAGGGAGATCTGATCATCGGCTCTGAATGAAATCATCTTGCCATTGTCCGTCGACAGAAACTGAGGACAAAAATAAATGAAATTTAGTGGCGGGCTTGTTTATTCCTTTAAGTTAACTTTATTAATCACCATCGACGATTAATAAAGTTAACTTATTTCTTAAGTGTTGAAAAACTTTTTATTAATCAATAATAATGATCGTCGAAATTATTTCACAGCCTGTGGTATTCATTCAACGATGCATGATCATTTTTGCCATCCTGCTCTGTTATTTTCACGTTCGGTGCGAAGGTGTGGATTGCGAGTACGTATATACAATATGAGAAATAACGGTATTAAAAATACCTCATTATATATACATATATATATATA